AAATAAGGTATATGGGCTTATATAGTATTCTAATTGTCGTATGAACTAGGAATCCCAGAATTAACGCAATTGAGTTAAGAAGTGAGACACAAGCACAAACGAATGTATTGTATTTAGAATTCGAAATCGAGCATTCAACAAGTACAAAAGAATCATTAGTTAATTCAAACACATCATTCGCCACGGCTTAAATAGAAGTATAAGTGTTTGTAATCGGTTGTACGTCTTCCTGTTAAGTTCGACATTGTATAAGATAAAAACTTTGTAGTATCTAGAAAGCGCTCATTAGTATTGGAATTACCAAACGAAATCGGAACAGACTCACCTGGAATTGTATACAATCAGCATATCGGTTTTGTACTGAAATCATTAATATCTAGAATTTGAACCATAGATTTTTCAATCCTATCCTCCCCCACGAAATAATGTTGGATCTTTATATCCCCAAGTTATGAATAATGTGGCTTCATTTAAAACATATTTCTCACATTGTTTAGAGTAAACATTAGAACTGTTTTTGTGATAAGGGTAAACAGCAGTTGATATGAAATCATCCGAAATGTAATCAAACTCGAGGTCACTTAGTACTCGTGCTTCGCATTGAGCAGGTTTTTCACAAGGATCAAATGCATTATGAGAAGAGGTAATATATGATACGACATTAGGATTTGATTCTTCTGAAATATTCTCATGAAATTCATTAGGACTGTCATTGCAGGGCGTAGGAGAAAACCCAGCATCTATCCAAACCACATCAGGTTTCCGATCATGATTAGGTTCATTTAACATATTTTCCTCAATATTGCAAGTAATTCCATTAGAAATATGTGAATCATTAGGAAAAGTCATACCTGGTACAATAGCATGAGAATTCTGATAAATCGGTTGATTAGGAACTGTTGTCTCACAAGAATTCTGGATTTCATCTAACTCTGAACTGTCATATGACTCTGCACTGTCTTTTGAAATCGTTGATAAAGATAAATGATCATTAGAAACATCCGAATTATTTAAATTTAAATTACAAGATTTAGTACAGCTTGAAGCAAAATGGACAGTAGCATTGCATACTGACTGAATGTGTCCTACCTTACCACATTTAAAACATTTAGCATTACGAAATGCACATGATTGCGAGCATGAAACTTTCCACATGATAAACATTTACCAAACTTCATCTCACCTTTGTGATTTGCTTTGTAATTCCTCGTTGAAACACCTTTCATATTTACACGAGAATAGGAATCACTGTTAAATGAACGCAAATTTGATTGACCCTGAGATTGTAGTTCATCATGACGACTAAGCAAAGTAACAGAAATCTTCATCGACTGGATATCAAGTTCATTCACTGCTTCGTAGTTAATACACGCAGTTCTAGCATCTTGAAAGGAACAGTTTGGCATTTTTAACAGCTCCCTTTCCAAACTCGGTATGTTAATTCCTGCAATTAATCGATCTCTCAGTTGCACATGAAGTTGATCACCGAAATTACACTTGGCAGCTTGTTTCTGTAATTCAAGGATGAATTCCCGAGCCTTTTGGTCATTTTGACGAACCATCTTATGAAACTTCGCCCTTTCACGGCATTCAAAACTGGTGCATTTTACATGACTTAATAATAGCTCTTTAAGCGTTGCATAAGGGAGTGAGATAGGTTTTTCTGGATATGCGAAAGTTTTTAATAAGCTGTACGCTTCTCTCCCAATGAATGTGAGGAAGTGTGCCACAATATTAACATCCTCATCATCTTCCTTGGTCATGCTCCAGATTTCGAACCTTTCCAAATAATCCTCAAAAGCTTCAGGAGTTGAATGAATATCTAACTTTTTCATTATAGGCTCCATCGTGACGTCAATATAGTATTCTAATTGTCGTATGAACTAGGAATCCCAGAATTAACGCAATTGAATTAAGAAGTGAGACACAAGCACAAACGAATGTGTTGTATTTGGAATTCGAAATCGGGCATTCAACAAGTACAAAAGAATCATTAGTTAATTCAAACACCACAGCTTAACATAATAACCGACACTACAGCATTCAGCTATGAAGTGCAAATAACAGGTGCTTGATATTAGGAGACCTTAATGCACCTGATATCTGTTGAACTGAAATGGCCATATTAGGAGCTATGAACTTCCTTGATATTAAGTTTCTGATAACGGTATTGGAGCATGCATTAGTACAGCATGTATTCAAACTTGAAGGCTCTTTGTTAGACTTTGTAATCACTCATACGACTGAGCATATTGCCAATCTCAAAATTCTTCCAGCGTTAGACAGTAGCGATCACTCTGTTTTTTAATTCATGCTTTAGAGCCTGTGACATGTTATACGATCAGGTTAAGCCCCGCTCAAATGTATGGAGAGCTAACATACCGGCCACTCAGGAGAGCGCTATTAAGATGGATTGGTCGGTAGACACTAGCTCAGACACTAGTCCAGACTGTCGAGAGACTGGAATTACGGTATATAAGGCGGGGAGCAGATACTTATCTATTAATTATTGACCCGTTACTATGACTATTGCAGTTGTCAAACTAGTTGAAAAGATTATTCGGATTGCCGTTATAAACTTTTTGGAAAGGTACGATCTTTTATCCAGGGGACAACATGATTTTTGAAAGACCGATCGTGCTTGACAAATTTGCTCATAGCAAGAGGAGATTGGGCTGCAGCAAAAAATCGAAATATTCCTGTGGATATAATTTTTTAAAATCTAAGTAAAGCCTTTGACAAGGCCTCTGCATTCGGTTCTTGAATTAAGAATGGAAAGGTTTGGAGTCTGTTATAACGTCCTCAGTGATAAGAGACGGTGGGTGAGAGAAAATACAGTTCTCTCAGCGCGGGACCCCCTAAATAGTGGAGTTCCCTAAGGTACAAACCTTTGTCCTCTTGATCTACTTTATGTGAATGAATTATCAACTGTAGCAGATTCATCCGTTCTATTATTTATCGATGAGAATGATTTGGAGACCCATGCACAGTATATAAGACAGAATAGTGTTACAGCTCATTGGTGGCATGGATAGGCAGACGGTCATTAGAAGTGATTTCTAACAAGATTGTGGGGATGAAATTGCATGACTATGATGACTCATATCACTACATAATACTTAGAATTATGCTACCCAAAGTTGTGGTCTATAAACATTTAGGAGTCATAATAAACAACTACCTATAAACTACGAGCAATTACAGAGCTGCTGCTGCGAAAGGCTTTTGGTTATCATGTGCTACTCGTAGGTCTTTTCAGCAATTGGAAGAAGAAATGTTTGGAGTAGTATGCCCGACTTTCGCGAGATATCATTTGGCGCGTCTGTGTTTCAAGTATGAGACGGATATGCAGGAACGAGTCCAATGACAAGGGACTAAAATGGTGTGGTGAACCAGACAAATATGAACGTGAAAAAGTATTAACCAAGTTATTAGGAGTGAATAATAATGTTAATTGTTACAAACACAACAGAAAAGTTGGGACTTTACTTAAGTTCACCAAGTTGCTGCGTATTCGGATTGGGTCTGGTACTGAAAATTCACAATTATAAATGTTCGGTAATTCCGCTCAGGTTGTTGGACTCTCCAGTAATGTAAACCGATGTTAGGTATGATATATTCCGACTTACAGTCTATAAATGCAGATAATGTTTGATTTAGAATGCAGTTAGCTCAACCAGGTATGTGTGTATATCAATGTATTTGTTAGCAAGCAACAGTATGTCACGCTATGTCAGTAACACAACGGAAAGTGTGTTCAAGGTCATTCACTAAAACAACAGGTACAGTCATTTGATGATAAATATACACACAGTGAAAGATGGACAAAATAAGTACAAACAATATTAAAAACTATCTACAAAATAAGCTTGTCAGGTCTATCTTCACATGACTCCCCTCAGAGTGTCCGGAGGTAACATTGGTTATCATAACAAAAAAATATAAGAATGTGATATATAGATGTATGGTAAAATGTGTCTCTGGCCTATCTTATGAAAACAGAATGAAACACCTCAAATTATTTCCGTTATCTTACCGTAGAGTACGAGATGATCTAGTATTGGCCTACGTATACTGAAAAATGACCTTGCTATTAATATGCCTTATTTTTTTCTTCCGTCTAGGACTGATAATTTGAGAGGGCATTCTAGGAAGTTCAAAATCGAGGTTAGGTCGTTTACGTCTAGAGTTTCATTTCTCTCACAGAGTAGTGAATTACTGGCATCCCCTTCCAGAACATGCAATATCAGCATTTTTTGATGATATATTTAAATCGAGACTGGACCTTCACAGTGCTACAAAGTTCAGGGAATAATTTAAAACTGTAGATAACTTTTTGAACCATTTAAACCATTTTATTTCGTATATTAGTTGTTATTTGACAACCGCATTCACTGTTGAATTGTAAACATATTAGTTTATTCTTCATAGCGAATAACATATATTGGTTTTCTTTGTTTTTTCATTTCGCAGTGAAGGTCTCAAAACTGAGCTCTTTTTGTCCTTGATATTTTACGGCGTTAAACAGGTAAATGCAAAACAGCAATCTAGTTGACGTTATTTCGTTGAATAATCTGGTGCATATTATTATCCAGATTTTCACAATTTCATGGTCGGTGCTTCTGACTCACTCCTCTATGGTTGTCAGCGATTCGAAAATCTGGATACAATGAGTTTGTAATACTGAAATTATCTAAACGAAGGTTATTGATCGTAGTTCTTTGAAAATTTCTACTTATCGCTGAAACGATCAACTTAACACGTGGTTACATTACTCAGGTAGCATGAAATACTCGAGGCTTTTTGAAGCAAAGCATATACTTTGCTTATATATGCGTTAAAAAACTACTCGTTTGGTATCAGGATGCGTGATCTTACCGTCGAACTAACGTGAATTCTGTACAGTAGTTTGCTGTTCACGGGACCTAGCGTATCGCTAAAACGTCCTTTGTACATAATCGATTTATAGACTATCAACGTTGAAATGAAGTCAGTGTGCTAGGCGAACCAGGCATACTTTTCAAAACATGTTCCCGCTTAGTAAAATGTAAGTCCTCGAAACCGTGGTAGATTAGAAAAGCAAGGATTATTTGCATTCTCGAGGAATAGTTATATTATTTTGACTTAGCCAATTAGTAGATTAGTCTGAGGGCATCAGGTAAGTAATATGCGGGCACAAATGTCTGACCAGAACCATAGAGATTGCTAAAAATTAGTGGCTTCAATAATTTAATCTTTGAAGCGTTTGAAATTTCATATTTTACGATGTAAGCTATTTTGCTTGATTTCACTGGACGTTAGATACATAACTTGTTGAAGTTTGTCTTAGTTCTTTCTTATGGTATAGAAATCGCTAGTAAATCTGAGACCTTTAATTAACTTGTTCCAGATTTTCCCAGATCGTTGATGTACGTAACATTCCTAAACATTAAATTCTTTTACATGTTAAATAAATTGGTAGTTTCTGATATTACAATCTTCAGTGACACCTACTTTCTCGATTCCTTTTATCATATTCGTTCTTCTTACCGGTTACCTCGTGATATGTTCAGAAGCTTATTAACTTAGACTGATGCAATATATAGGTTTTCTGTTGCTATAAACTTCGAAACAACAACAGCAGTGGATTGTCAGTCGATATTTATGTCCTCAATCGGGATATTAAAATCTGAAGGGTTATAAAATAATGTGCTGGGAAAATTCAGTCATTGAAAAGTTCAAATGTTTTAATGACTAACCGTAAGGACTTCTAAAATGTTTCAGTCAAGCTCACCGGAAGAAAAATCTAAGAAGGGAGCATATTGTTTTATCTACGATTAGATGTATTGATTGATGTAGGAAAAAAGCCCCCAAATGCCCTGGTACGGCCGATAGTGAGGAGAGTCCGCTCTCCCTCTCGAAATGCTCTCACATGGCCACGCGTATATAGCCTCTGCCAGGGAAGTCCTGCTCACTGCCTTCTCGTGGCGGTGTTGTTTACGAAATTAAGAGGACAAAAAACGAACGTCTAGTGCTTTAACCGGGTCGGTGGACATAGAGAGTCGACCTAGGGGAGTTGGAAAACCCTGATTCCAAACCAATGGTGCACATCAGCTCCAGTATCCTGAAGGAACAAATGGCGTATGAATCAATCGTTTGTCACCGGCTACCATGGGACCGCATCTCCTTACGTTGCTCCACTGCCTTGTGGATCAAACCTTCAGGTTTGGGCACCCGGGCAGTATCACAGCCCTCACATAAACCGAATGATTTATGTGGCGCATATGTATTTGGTGCCTCATTGTACCAATATCTGTGTTAAAATAAATAAATAACGATTAGATACCAGCGATCCCATTACAGTGGTTCGGTCATACTAAGTTATTTCGGTGGGTTTTCAAAAATGATTTTTGAGTGCGCGACAATAATAATTTCACCGTATCCGTTTGGATCCTGAAAATCTAACTGGGGTTTATGTAATGACTCGAAGAAACAAGACGCCTTCTATTTAAAACTCAAAAAGTGCATGTAATACTCCTAGTTTTCAAAAAAATTTCAATTATGCTTCGGAGAGGCGAAACCCAAGCTACGCACAAAGAGACGTCATATATTAGCCCTAATTAGTAGATTTGTAGTTTTTATCAATAACAGTTTGTATATTAAAACCATCACAGATTGCCCAATTACAAATTAATTACTGTGTTCATGGAAGTCTGATCAGCCCTAATGGGTTGGTGTCTGACGAAATCTCAGCACGGATTCGAAAAGCTCGCTTGGCTTTTGCCAACTTACGTCACCTATGGCGAAGGCAAGATATCCGTCTATCAACAAAAGGATGAGTATATTGCGCGGCAGTCTATCCTGTTTTAATTTACGGCAGCGAAACATGGCCATTAAGAGTAGAAAACACTCGTAAGCTACTAGTATTTGACCACAGATGCCTTAGAAATATTGCTCACATCTGCTGGGATCACCAGCTAAGTAATAGTGAAGTTAGACACAGGGTATTAGGGAATGATGGTAAATCAGTGAATGAGGTTGTGAGTCTTCATCGACTAAGATGGTCGATCCACGTGTTACGTATGCCTGAACACCGATTACCACGACGTGCAGTGCTGACTAGTGTTAAGAATGGTTGGGAGAAAGTTAGGGGCTGCCAAACCAAAACGTGGCATCAGTGTTTGAGGTCACTAACTTCTAGTCCTAGCCATGTTGGTAGATGCAGACTACTTGGTTGGGGTCCGCGTGACTATCGTAGCCAATGGTTGGAGACTCTTAATGGCATGGCTCAGAATCGATCACAATGGAGTCGGTGTATACACTCTCTGTCTTCCCTTAAACTAAGAGATTAAAATTACTTCATATCTTTCTACGAACTATTTCTTTCTTTCTGTACTATATTCTTACATAAAATCTTTCCTTTATATATTACACTATTGAGTTAACCGCTTCTATGAATCCGGTGTTCGTCTCGCTGTGCTAATGAGTTGTGACAACTTGGATCGATGCATATATGTGCCTGGTCCTACACTGTGACTGACTGACTGACTGATTAAAGTACTATATTTACACAAATTGCTTTATATAATAGATTCAACACGAAATTGTGAAAAGGGCCACTCTGAGTAAGGATGTGCACCCTCCAGTTTGCTTGATGACTATCATAATTGTCCAATTATGACGAGTTTTTCATTTTTAAGATCATTAATCTTGAATATAATCTTTAGGGGTATTACTGATCTTCCTTTGTTGCTACCATGATTATATAACCGCTTTTGATGCTCAAATTATTGCTTCTTTCTATGTGTTATTTGTAGTAAATTTGAAAACTATTATGGAAGAGGAAGATGATTGGAGACACTCATTGGCTTTTTATGTTTTTCTGTACGAATGAGGCGTTACTGATCCAGGAGGCTGTGAGCCTCCCAGCTTCCGGTCTATAAGAAGAGAGATGGTGGCTGTGCAAGTAACACGAGTACTGACAGTGAAATATGTGTCAATACAGTACATGCTGTTAACGGAGAGTGAAGCGCCACTTGATATGGATATGGGTAGTCATGCATCTAGAGTAGAAATTGAAGAACTGGATAAAACCGTCACCGTTCCTAATAGTCTCGGTGTATCTGTCCAGAGTGATAAAAAATGGACGATCGTATGGCAAAAAAGAAGTAAAAGGTGAAAACTAAGAGCACTCACTTGGTTGGCAAGTCATTGGCGAATTCCCATTCCGGGTTACTTATTGTATCTGTGACAGAAACTCAGTCAGTCCACGGCTTTGACATTACTCCAGAATTATCCGGATTCTATAACATAAGAAGTAAAAGACACAGATGTAGCGTAGGAGGTGGTGTCCTTCTATATATATCTGCTCCTTCGCTTGCGAATCTCACGATAGTGGAACTTGTAAAACAATTAGCTGTGAGATATTTATATTTATACTCAGTGTCATCTATCACAGTCCAATACGCTTGGCCGGTGGCTTTATTTTAGAGCATGTCGTGGGGCTCTTTTTTGTCACTATTTATAACGGACGATGTTGTCAAAGGGCTCTCCACTCTAGTGGCCCGTGGCCTGACTCGAAGTGGTCACACAAAAATACGTTACAGACATGTGATGAATAGGATAAGAAATCTACACACATATATGCGCTCCTATAATAACAGTCAAGATCGATAAGAGAATAATTAACAAGGTCAAAATGTGACTCAAGTAGAATGGATAGATTGAGCCGTCCGAAAGCTAAAATAAGGTATATGGGCTTATATAGTATTCTAATTGTCGTATGAACTAGGAATCCCAGAATTAACGCAATTGAGTTAAGAAGTGAGACACAAGCACAAACGAATGTATTGTATTTAGAATTCGAAATCGAGCATTCAACAAGTACAAAAGAATCATTAGTTAATTCAAACACATCATTCGCCACGGCTTAAATAGAAGTATAAGTGTTTGTAATCGGTTGTACGTCTTCCTGTTAAGTTCGACATTGTATAAGATAAAAACTTTGTAGTATCTAGAAAGCGCTCATTAGTATTGGAATTAACAAACGAAATCGGAACAGACTCACCTGGAATTGTATACAATCAGCATATCGGTTTTGTACTGAAATCATTAATATCTAGAATTTGAACCATAGATTTTTCAATCCTATCCTCCCCCACGAAATAATGTTGGATCTTTATATCCCCAAGTTATGAATAATGTGGCTTCATTTAAAACATATTTCTCACATTGTTTAGAGTAAACATTAGAACTGTTTTTGTGATAAGGGTAAACAGCAGTTGATATGAAATCATCCGAAATGTAATCAAACTCGAGGTCACTTAGTACTCGTGCTTCGCATTGAGCAGGTTTTTCACAAGGATCAAATGCATTATGAGGAGAGGTAATATATGATACGACATTAGGATTTGATTCTTCTGAAATATTCTCATGAAATTCATTAGGACTGTCATTGCAGAGCGTAGGATCGTTAGAAAACCCAGCATCTATCCAAACCACATCAGGTTTCCGATCATGATTAGGTTCATTTAACATATTTTCCTCAATATTGCAAGTAATTCCATTAGAAATATGTGAATCATTAGGAAAAGTCATACCTGGTACAATAGCATGAGAATTCTGATAAATCGGTTGATTAGGAACTGTTGTCTCACAAGAATTCTGGATTTCATCTAACTCTGAACTGTCATATGACTCTGCACTGTCTTTTGAAATCGTTGATAAAGATAAATGATCATTAGAAACATCCGAATTATTTAAATTTAAATTACAAGATTTAGTACAGCTTGAAGCAAAATGGACAGTAGCATTGCATACTGACTGAATGTGTCCTACCTTACCACATTTAAAACATTTAGCATTACGAAATGCACATGATTGCGAGCATGAAACTTTCCACATGATAAACATTTACCAAACTTCATCTCACCTTTGTGATTTGCTTTGTAATTCCTCGTTGAAACACCTTTCATATTTACACGAGAATAGGAATCACTGTTAAATGAACGCAAGTTTGATTGACCCTGAGATTGTAGTTCATCACGACGACTAAGCAAAGTATTAGAA